TAAACCCTAAACCCTAAAGGGTAAGCCTTGAGTTTGGCACTGAAAGGAACAGCCCTCGGGTGTGGTCGCCCGAGTCTTCAGATGCCCGGCATCAAAAACAGGGGGGGTGTTTACGGTTTAGGGTTTAGGTGGGGGGGGGTGGCCTTGCGCTTTCTTGAAGCTTGGCAGTCGGATTTCGGTGTAGTTTTGCTTTAGGGTGTGTTTCTCCGGTTTATGCATTCGCAGGCTGTTGATCATGCGGGTTTCGAGGGGGGATACGAGTGTTTGAGCGGTTTTGCAAGTGTTTGCACAGGATTTTAATGCAGAAGTTCTTGGTCCCTTTGTGATTGGGCTCGGGCAACGGTAACCTTAATTAAACTCCCCCCCCCCCCCCCCCCCCGTCCACCAAAAAAAACATGTCAGGGTTTAGTTTTCAGGGACCGCCCACGAAAAGGCGTCGGCGCATTCTAGCCAGAAGCTGAAGCCAGACCCAGCGAATCCAAACCCCTTAATTAGTCAAGGAACATGAGCTCTGGAACCCTTAGGCCCTTATATAACTTAGGGTTTAGGGCTTGGGCCCTGGAGTACCACTACCCAAACTTCGAGACCCGCATATACATCCTAATCCCGAAGTATCCGACTTCCTGAACCCTTCCAATCTGAGGCGGCATGACGGGCCCTATGCGCTTTGGGAGGCCACTTAGGGTTTAGGGTTTAGGGGTCACTTGTCAGCTTTCTTGAATTCCCTTTAGCGCTGATTTTTTTCCAGTGCACCGCATTCCCAGACCAGCTACTGTTGCACAGGCAGAGCTACTGCTTCGGGGGCTTACGTACAAGCAAGCCCCTACATGTTCACATGATTGTAGCAAAGGGGTCACAGGGTCATGCAGTTCTAAAGTCCCTCACCCAAAACCCTAGGAGCCGTGCCTTAAACCCGACACATCAAGATCAGTGCATTTCTGCAAATGTCTTCGAAGGTCAGTCTCTGCTTACCAGGGCTCTCGCCTGTCTTCTTTGAACGCCATCCAGGCACACCGCGGTTCAATATCCCAGATCATGTGTGAGGGATCTATAGGCTGTAGGGGTGTATGTATGGGCTTTGCAAGGGGTCTTCAGGCTATCTTTCGGGGTTTATTGCCTGGATTTTTAGAGGATTTATAGGCCATGAACAAAAAACCCTAAACCCTAAACCCAGACATGCAAAAGGGTTTATGAGACACCGCGGCTCTTAACGAGATTTCGGAGTGAAGGTTCGGGGAGGGGTTAGGGTTTAGGGTTTAGGGGTTAGGCTTTAGAGTTTAGGCTTTAGGGTTTAGGGTTCAGGGTCTGGGTGTTTGTGGGAGTTGCAGAGGGTAGTGAAGAGGTTTGCGGGATTTGTGTAGGCGGTAGTAGTGGGCTTTGTGGGCCCTGATATGAGCCGCACCATCAGTCCTATCTTTTGGTTCTATATTGCGAGTATGGTATAATATACTCCCCAAACTCTACTCCAATTACCATTTACTGAGGCCTCTATATCGTGCGGGAAGGGAAGCCCCACATCCTAGAGGGTGGGGGGTCTTGCAGCCATCTGAGAAAGACGACAGAAGTAATTGGGTTGAGGTCTTTCAAACCGTAATCTCAGCTCAGTTCCTGACTAAGTGCCCAAACACAAACCCTTGTAAAACCCCTATACACTACGTAAAGCCCCTGCGTAGCCCTGTAGCAGTTTATCAAGATGCAATTTCCCGCTAGATCAGGTCAACCTCGTCTGCTACCCTCGAATCCACTTCGCTCTGCCGGGTATTGCCTGTGCACTCTGGCACAGCAAGGGCTGGGGGTTCAGGGGTGCGGAGATTGGCTTGTCTGGAACTTAGAGCATATGGGGTAGTTCTCTAAATTAGTGCCCCTTTTTAGCTCCCAAAATAGTACGGCACCCTTATAAATAGGATCCTAAAACGCAACCCAGTTTCGAGAACTACCCGCATGCCAGGACAGGGAGGGAATTAGTTAAATTCGGGTCTACACCCTAAACCCTAAACCCTAAGTGTGGTATTCGGAATCCAGCTGTCGAGCCGTGCAGGAACCTACTTTCCACCTATAGTCTCCATTGTAGTTCCCTTTAGGGGATGCCTTATAAACTCCTTAATATATATTTGGTTGAACCAAAGAAAGGGACTATAATGGAGACTACAGGTAAGGTGCTAGGTAGGCCACCTTGTACTTCTTTGGGCTATACACAACCCTACCACAATCAACCAAAATTAGTCTTGCTTCCGCTGAGGTACTCAGTCACCAGGGTTATCATTTCTTTTCATCACACCGAAATAGGAACTCCCTAAACTCTAAACCCTAACCTCTAGTTCAACCAAAATCCCGAGACAACAGACCTCAACCAAAAACTGCTGTGCGAGCATCCTTTCTTTCAGGGCCCTCATATGGCTGAACTGCGGCTACAATCTTTTGACGGCTACTGTTCTCATGCCTCAAACGCAGAGCAGAGGGAATTTGAGCACTTGTCATCTCTGTTACTTTTGAACTTCAAGGGTTCTTGGGTTTAGGATTTAGGGTTCGCTTTTTCATAGGGTTTATATGGGTGTAGGCTTTAGGATTTGTAAGTTGTAAACCCTAAACCCTAAACCCTAAAACCCTAAAACTCTTAAGCCCTAAACCCTAAACCCTAAACCCTAAACCAAAGCGCTCAGGGCAGCAGCGAGGATGGTGGCTACGGCGCCGCAGCAAAGGCGCTGACGGCTCCTCTCTGTACCGTCGAGCAGCCCTGCCGGGTTTAGGGTTTAGGGTTTTAGGGTTTAGGGCTTAAGAGTTTTAGGGTTTTAGGGTTTAGGGTTTTAGAGCTTTAGGGTTTTGGGGTTTTACGGTTTTAGAGCTTTAGGGTTTTACGGTTTTACGGTTTTAGAGTTTTAGGGTTTTAGGGTTTCGGGTTTTCGGGTTTTCGGGTTTAGGAGGGATGTTGCGGATTCCTTGCTTAGTAGCTGAGTGAGGACACTTTACACTTTTTGGGGTTATATGATCCCTTATAGAACTGAAAGTGTGCACTTTTGGGGGCTTATGAACTCAGCAACTAAGCTTGAAGGATTCCTGGGTCCGGGGGTTTTGGGCTTCAGGTCGGTGGGCCGAAATAATTGAAGGTATAGTCAAGTATAGTCAAGTCCAGCATATGGCATATGTGTTTACATGTATATAATATAGTATGTCATAATACAAAGAGCAAGTGCACATATAAATATATATATATATATATATATTATAATATACATATAGTCATATAGACATGTGTTCTTTGTATTTCTACGATCTTTACAGTCAAACATAAACCTTTACGAAGAATGGGGTAAACCAGCCAGGAAGAGCAAGAGCATCGCTTTCGCCCTCATGGGCCGTGGTGCAGAGCAGTCTTGCCTGATTTCCCGGGCAGCGACCCGGCGGAGCCTTAACAAATCTGCTGCCTTAAAGGTTTCCCAGAAGGGTTCCTTAAAGGTTTCCTAGAGTGGGTTCCTTAAAGGTTTCCCAGAAGGGTTCCTTAAAGGTTTCCCAGAAGGGGTTCCTTAAAGGCTTCCTAGAAGGGTTCCTTAAAGGCTTCCTTAACGGGGTTTCCTACAAGTTTTCTGTGAGGCTTCCTTGAAGGCTTCGAGAAGGCTGCTTTTCGGGCCCAGGGTTCCGACCAAGACGGGGCGGATTGCGCAGGAGTTTAACATAGATGCTTAATAATTACCAAGACTATTTTGGGGTTCCTTATTCTATTCTAAGCATCAAGGAATATTGATTAGAATAGGGTTTTGGGGGTTCCTTTTTATAATTGTAGTATAAAGGATCCCCAGAGAGCCCCCGCAATCTGCTTAGTCCGCGCATTAGAGAGATGAGGGTTAAGGGTTTGGGGTTTAGGGTTTAGGGTTTGGGTAGCGGGGGCCCAATGCCCAAATAATTCTCAATACTATTTTGATGTTCCTTGATATGGGAGTTTCCGAAAATTAGGGTACCTTATTTTGGGGTCCTTATAATAAGGATCCTATTATTTAGGGTACTATATTAGGGTCCCCTATTTTCGGAAACCCCCATATAGTGATAGTATAATATACCGACCAAGAGCCTTCCGTCCAAATGCTCCTAAACTCACGACAAGCAGCCCCTGTGTGGGGTTATGCTCGATTCCCTATTGGCTCTAAAGCTCCCCGTACCTGCGTATATGGTGTATACCCAGGCGCTTAGGGAGTTCCTATTTATCAAGTGGCCTTCGGGCCACAGGGGTGTAGGAGAAGTCCTGCACGTCGGAAATCGTAAGAGACCGTAGCACGGCCAAGGCGGCATACAAGCTGAGCAAGGAGTGCGACTTTGTGGCCAGGTTCGATTACTGCGGGTTTAGGGTTCAGGGTTTAGGGTTTAGGGCAGTTTGGGCATTAGCGTCAAGATGCGATGATTTCGGCTTGTGTGTTTAGGGCTCGAGATGCGGACCCCCAAGCTCTAAACATGGGGTGCCCTCACCCTAAACCCCTAAACCCTAAACCCTAAACCCTAAACCCTACACCCCCTACGGCCATTTTTGCTCTTGGAAACAAAAGACAGTGGTCCATCACCATCATCTTCCAACTAATGGCCGGGGCCTTTGACCCGGCTGGGTTGCTAAGTGATGGGCTGGAAGACTCCTTCCACGGTTCCGTACGACTTGACCCCGCCCACTCTGGGCTATTCTCAAGGTTTGATATTGACAACGGAGGAATTCCCCGGGTCCGTGATATGAGGCTGAATTCAGCACTCACAGTGTCTGTGTGGACTATGGGTGCGGGGATCATTCAAGGGTCTGCTGGTGCCCTGTACAGCAAGCCATTCAAGGGGATGGAGGATGAGCCAAGGAGCTGGAGTGCCATTATGTCAGGGTCAAGGCTGCTGACTGACAATGAGAAATATCTTCCTTTCATGTGGAGCCCTGACAGGGGGGAGACCGGTGCTGCCGGCTGGGCATCAGAGATTCGCGAGCGAGGTGCGGCCCTAGGGTGCTCATTGGTATCATCATACTGCCAGTCCTTTGGAACTGAGGGGATGGCAAGCAACACAGGATGCATACCTGGGATGGACCAGGTTGCTGACCGATTCAACAGGGCAAAGACAGAGATGCGGATGAGTGCCCACCTCCGTAGGCAGTTTGACCGGGTGGAGGAACTGAATAGAGCACTTGATACCAAACGTCTGTAGTGAGCTTACTGCAGACCCGTGAGCCGGTCAGCCAACGGTTCAGAGCTTTCTAGGGTCCCTCTAAAGCAAAGACTAGGATTTAGGCTTTAGGGTTTATAGGGCTCATAATCAGCTCTCTACAAAATCCCGAAACAAGGTAGGATATGGTAGTTTCAGGTTACACGAACCCGAAAAGCCAGACTGTGATTTAGGTTCAGGGGTTCACGAACCCGAAGAATTCGAATGGTTTACTCCCTGGTTGGCCACGAGGTCCCAGCAGCAGCGTCTGTTCTCTAGCGATCCTCGGCCTCTGGACCCTAAGCCCTTCAACGCGAAGTTCTCTAAACCCTAAACCCTAAACCCCTAAACCCTAAACCCTACACCCTAAACCCTAAACCCTAAACCCTAGACCCTAAACCCTAAACCCTAAACCCCTATACTCTAAACCCTAAACTCCTAAACCCTAAACCCGT